TCAAACAGCAACAATTAAAGTCTAAATGAAAAAAAATATCAAAATTAAGTTTGTGCCAAAAGTTTGTTAGTAACTTCAAGGAGCCATGATGAACCCACTCATGCTCCGACCTGCTCTGTTCATGAATTTTGCTTTGGCAAAACAGTGAATCAACTGACTTCACGAGCCTGAGAGATTAGCGGAACTCGCCTATTTTTGAGAGCGAGAGTTAGAGCGGGAGTAAGAGCGGGAGCCAGACGAGTAGAGTTTGTGGCCGTAAAATGTGGATTTAAAGGACAACTCACCCTCAAATCCACTTTTTTTTGTGTGCTGATAAACGGTATAAATGAGTGTCCAATAGTGTTGTCTACATATCCTGGTCATAATTTTGTCACTTTGGTGCAAATTAGTTGAAAGTTAAACTTTCTGCCTAAAACCATCTGTGAGGCGCCATCTGCTGGCGACCTGTATTACTACATTTGAATTTTGAATCTGGCGCCTGATACCTGACGTCAGCAGCCCCCCGCCCAGAGCTATATAAACGGCCCAGTCTCGTTCACGCCCCCTTTAGTCCTCCAGGCTACGCCCATTTAGAGGAAGATTTGAACAGGAAATGTGAGTGACGTAAGCTCCGAGGAGCGGGGGTGAGAACCACTTTAAAGAAAACTGAAGGATTTAAGAAGAAAAAAAGTTCAGGATGACAAGGGACACTAAAATCCCCAGAAAATCCGACCTTTATGAAAGCTGTGGGTTCTCTGTCAGGTTCTCTGTCAGCTGAGGTCGAGCTGTTTTAATTTACATTGAGTTCTATGGGACTTTTTCTGGGTAGCCCTCGTGAATTTAGTCTGCAGTACCACAGCGCCCCCTGTGCCCATGGGTGGGACAGCTATACGCTAGGAATACACTATCCAGTTATTATTATAGTTCCATGGTTGTGCCACAGGTGCGTTGTATACATGGATCTATTATAATAACTTGATAGGGTATTACTAGCTTGTAGCTCGGGAGATTCTCGTGGTACTGCAAACTAAATTCACGTGGGCTACCCAGAAATTGTCCCCATAGAACTCAATGTAAACTAAAACAGCTCGACCTCAGCTGACAGAGAACCTACAGCTTTCATAAAGGTCGGATTTTGTGGGGCTTTTAGTGTCCCTTGTCATCCTGAACTTTTTTTCTTCTTAAATCCTTCAGTTTTCTTTAAATCCACATTTTACTGGCACAAACTCTACTCGTCTGGCTCTTACTCCCGCTCTAACTCCCGCTCTGATCAGCAGCTCTGATTGGTCAGAGCGCGGCCCCTAAGAGCATGTGCATGACAGCCACGCACGCGTATTTGGCGCAAAGCATCATGGGAGCTCGTCAACTGCGCAGAACCGGTAGGACCAGACAATGCCCAAAAATAGGCGAGTTCCGCTAATAGGGGTGTGACGATACTTTCTCCCGCGATTCGATTATCGATATGCATTTGCCAAGTATCAATATCAATTTCGTTTTTATTGGTATCAATACTTAATATATGGCTACATTACGCATCTCCATTCCATTTATCATGACATAAAGAGTATTTTTTATTTTATTTTTTGCTATAAATTGGCATATTGTATATTTCTGACCAATATATCAATAATCGTCATATTGTGATAAAATCGTTATTGTAATCTTTATCGTGAGCTTTGTATCGTGTATCGTATCGTATTGTTAGGTACCCTTAGGTTCCCACCTCTGTCCGCTAATCTCTCAGGCTCGTGAAGTCAGTTGATTCACTGTTTTGCCAAAGCCAAATTCATTAACAGAGCAGGTCGGAGTGGGTTCATCATGGCTCCTTGAAGTTACTAACAAACTTTTGGCACAAACTTAATTTTGATATTTTTTTTCATTTAGACTTTAATTGTTGCTGTTTGAATAAATAAAAACATCTTAGATCATTGTTGTGTTTTTTTCTGCATTAACAAAAATGCTCCTCGCTTTAGATTAGGGTACTGCAAAATAGTGTAATAAGCAATTTATTAACGCATATTTTTAGTGGCCTATTACCACTATTGCCTATTAATAAGCAGCGTATTAATATCTTTATAGGCATAGTGTTAGTGGCCTATTAACATGGTATCGATAATAGTTTAATAAGCAGCTTATTCATATATTTATAAACATATTCCTCCTTTAATAAGTATCTTACTAATTACTTATTAAATGCTTAAAAGCATATAACTAGAACAACATCATTTAGAGAATAGTGAAATGAGCAGCTTATTAATATGTTTATAAGTACATATAAGCAATCTATAAGCATGTTGCTAATGTCTATTAATACCTTATTAATACTTAACAAGCACACCTTAATATAAAGCGTTACCAAATAATTGAATGAGAAACGATATGAACTATCACTTACAGCATGAAGCCTCTTAGTTAAGATTTTTTGCAGCATGCCAGACATCCAGGGAATGGGTAACTCCATGATCCATATATCTTCCCCGCTCTGGATCTATTTTAAAACTCAAAAATGCAGTAAGCACAAAATATAGCACATCAAATAATACAGACAAAAATACTTACGCATGAGGGCTGCAATTTGCACATGGGCGTCAGTCACAATCTCTTTGACTTTTGATTCTTTCGATAGATCATCAAATGTTTTGATGAATGCTGCTTTCTCCATAGAGACACTTTTCCCACCAACTTGCCTTTTTATCAACATTGACAACACTGATGATGTCCATAGTGTCAAGTTCCATCGTTGTGTATGTGCAAAACGTTACAGAATGACCTTGTTGAATCAAATATGGTGAAACACAAAGTAATACACAATAACTATGTTGTAAAGTGAAAGGCTTCAGACTTACCTGGTGAGTCCATTCTCCCGTCAGCTGTAACAGATATAGTACTTATAGTGACTGCAAATATGACAAAGAGAGTCCTTTAACACATTACTTACCTCTATAAAAGGCTGCACCCCTGCCACAGATAACTCATCCCTGTTAAAAAATGCAAGTTTGTTTCAGTGATATTGTCAATAAGGCTTGAATCAAACATAATGCCAATCCTATTTCTCTGGTAAAAAAGTACCGGTCAGATTCTACGATACCGATTGAACTCGGGAGATCACCAGTCGCAGTAGTGGTTTTAGGAGTTGAGGCCTTGGGACTCCTTGATGCCATCATTTTTTCATAGCTATAAAGTAAATAAATACACGTTACCTATACACACATGCGTCTCATTGTATTACAGTTGGACTAACCACATTCTATTACTAATATAGTCTGCAATTCTACGATACATATAGTACAGGTACTGAGGTACATATAGTACAGGTACTGAGGTACATATAGTACAGGTACTGAGGTACATATAGTACAGGTACTGAGGTACATATAGTACAGGTACTGAGGTACATAATCACTGCATCTGCAAGTTTCATAATGGTTTACATGCACACAGCTGTACTACGCTAACACATGCTAAAGTTCTTTCAAAAGCTCTAATCAACGTAACAGTCATTATTTCTAAACATTCTTTATACAGAACAAACAAAATGCTGAATGTGTCTCGCCAATCTGTTACTGTTCAGAAAAAAACCAAACCAAATGGAATCAGTCCATGTTGCTAAGTCAAAAAGCTAACACATAATAATGCTATTTCACTTTGTATTCGTGCAAGACACTAGGACGTTTAGAACTGAGTCACCGTCTTACCTTCTAATCAAGATAAACGCCAAATGAGGATAAATTTTTATCCCCAGAACGTTTCGGAGGCTTCTCCATTTCTCAAACGCATGGCCGAGAGCGACTCGGGTCTGAGCTCTCCGCCGGTCGGCCTCTCGCTTCGTTCTTTTCGTAGCACTAGTGACAATCTTCCAGATGGTGATTCTGAAGCTGGTCTTTCTGGTCAAGAAACTGCTGGATCCATCTTCAAATACGCGTGATACGAGGACGGGACAGATCCACTGAACGCGAGGGAACATATGGAGCCAAAACAGTGAACGGGCACGCGCATTGCGTCACTTCCGCTTAAACAGCGCGCGAGAAAGCGACCCGAGTCAGGGATTTCTCAATCACTGTATGCGCTCACAGAAGCAACCACAGTGAATCTGCTAATGCTCAGCTTACACACCAGGCAACTGCTGATGGACCACACATGCAAAATATTGCGTTTTGGCATTTTTCAACTTACGCAATGCACCTTTAAGTAACTGGAGCTTTTTCGGTCTATGGGCTTCAGAGACGGAGAACAAGACAGAAAACAGCAGGGAGAGAGCGAGAGGGAAAGAGAGAGGGAGCGAGAGAGTGATTGAGGCAGAGAGCGATACAGTAATCGAGACAGAGAGCGAGACAGAGAGTGAGACAGAGAGATATGAATCTATCTTTGGTAAATTGAGGGTTCTCCTTCCTTGGACTTCCAAGAGCGAGACAGAAAGCGATACAGAAAGCGACACAGAAAGCGACACAGAAAGCGACACAGAAAGCGACACAGAAAGCGACACAGAAAGCGATACAGAAAGCGATACAGAAAGCGATACAGAAAGCGATACAGAAAGCGACACAGAAAGCGACTCAGAAAGCGACACAGAAAGCAACTCAGAAAGCGAGACAGAAGGGGCCAGAGTGAAAAGAGCCGAGTGGGAGAGTCTTCAAGAGCAGCTTAACCGAGCTCAAGAAGAACTGAAGCTTAGAGACGAACAGATCTTGGCTCTGCAGCAGGAAGTAACTGAGGTCAAAGATCAGTTAGAGGCAGTTGACACCAGTTCGAGGCGTTCATTGGGTTTGGCAAACGAGCGATCGGCAAGGTGGGAGCAAGCCCACCGACAGCTGCAGCTCCAGATGTCAAAGCTACCGTGTCCGTCAGTAGTTATACAGATGGAGAGCGAGACAGAGGGCGAGAATGAGATAGAACTGGGATTGAGAGATGAACAGATCTTGGCTCTGCAGAAGGAAGTGACTGAGGTCAAAGATCAGTTAGAGGCAGTAGAGACCAGTAAGAATCATTCATTGGGTTTGGAGAGGGAGCGATTGCAGCAGTGGATGGAAGCCCACCAACAGCTGCAGCTCCAGTTATCAGAGAAAGATTCTCAGTCTGTAGCCAGACAGAAAGAGACCGAGACACAACTGAGGATAAGAGATGAACAGATCTTGGCTCTACAGCAGGAAGTAACTGAGGTAAAAGATCAGTTAGAGGCAGTAGAGACCAGTAGGAGGCGTTCATTGGATTTGGCGCGGGAGCGAGTGGAGCAGTGGAAGGAGGCCCAACGACAGAAGCCTCTACCAAAGAAAGAGCGTCAGCTCGAGACTCTGATGGAGGGTGATGGACTCATGACGTCTGATAATCAGACAGAGACTGGGCCACAGGTACCACTAAATCAGCCAGCCCATTTAGAGACAGAGATAGAAAGCGAGATAGAGAGCGAGACAGAGATGGAGACTGAGGTAGAAATAGAGGTAGACAGCAAAGTAGAGAGCGAGACAGAGGTAGAGGCAACAGTTAGCAATACAAGTGGGTTTGAAAATCAGCCAGATTGCACACACTATAGACAGGTGCGCAGGGAGCTAGGTGAGAACATTATGACGCTGGTCCAAATGTTCTCCCAGAAAGACCAGGGCGTTCAAGGGGAGATAAAGCAAAACAGGGGGCCCGGTGAGAACGTTAGAACGCTGGTCGAAACGTTCTTCCAGAAAGACCAGGCCGTTCAAGAGGAAAAACAGCGAGCTGAAGAATTACGAGAGAAAACTCAACGCAAGGACTCAGCTGCAAACTCCAGGTGTAAAAGAATTTAAGTTCATCACTACAGGCGGCACGGTTTCTCAAGAAAGTCCTAGGTTCAAATCCTGTTCGAAACAGGGCTTTTCTGAGAAGAGTTTTCACGTTCTCCCCGTGCATGCGTAGGTTTCCTCCGTGTTTCTCCTACCGCTAAAAACATGGACAAAAGCCCCCCCTCTCTGAGGGGCCAGGACTTCCCTGAAAAAGAGATGCTGAAGTCTCAGTGGGTCGTTCCTGGTTTAATAAATAACTTAAATTTGAGCGTTGCATTTGCTAAGAGTGTCAGCAAATGGAACGCCATGAGGGTTGCCAGGTTGGGTTTGGGTCGTCCACAATAAGCTTTAAGAAGATGCAAATCAGCAGAATGTACTGGAGAGTTTGTTCGGCTGTTTGTGCTTCTGGAGCTTTGAGGTGGGCTACACAAACACCTGCAGATGTTGTAGATTCTACTCAAAATGGCATCCCAACATGAGTCTGTGTCTCAGTTCAGACCATGTTGTAGATCAGGGAGGTCCGGCTGGTTCAGAAGGAGGTGTGGCTAAGGTCTCAGTCCAACAAAGCAGGACCAGACTCCTCATGGCCCCGGGTCCAGGCTAAACTTGAAGACCTGAGGAAATGAGTGCAGTCTGGCGTGTTCCTGTTTGGTTGGAAGGAAAACCTCAGTGGGACCTGTGGAGAACCAGTCCGTCCTGGTGTAGATCATTCAGGGTAAAGCGACAGCCTCACTTTGGATCTGTTCTGGCGTGTGAGCTGTAACAAGGTTCAGATCCATGTGGTTGATGTAAATTAGATCTAAGTCTGGATCAGCCAGTACATTTAGAGAGACAGCGAGATTGAGACGGCGAGATGGAGATAGCGAGACAAAGGGCGCCTATAAATCACTTTGGGCGGCACGGTAGCAGAGTGGTTGGCACTCGAGCTTCTCAGCAAGAAGGTCCTGGGCTCAAATTTCAGTCGGAACAGGGCCCTTCTGAGTAGAGTTTGCATGTTCTCTCCGTGCCTGCGTAGGTTTCCTCCGGGTGCTCCGGTTTCCCCTACCACTGAAAACATGCACAATAGCTTCCCTCTCTGAGGGGCCAGGACATCCCTGAAAAAGAGATGCTGAAATCTTAGTGGGTCGTTCCTGGTTAAATAGATAACTGAAATTTGAGCGTTCCATTTGCTGACACTCTCAGCAAATGGAACACCATGAGGGTTGCCAGGTTGGGTTTGGGTCGTCCACAATAAGCTTTAAGAAGATGCAAATCAGCAGAATGTACTGGAGAGTTTGTTCGGCTGTTTGTGCTTCTGGAGCTTTGAGGTGGGCAACACAAACACCTGCAGATGTTGTAGATTCTACACATACAAAAAAAGCAACAGCCTCAGTTTGTGCGTTTGACTTTGGATCTGTTCTGGCGTGTGAGCTGTACGATGGTTCAGATCCGTGTGGTGGATCTAAACTGGAGGTTTAGACAAATGTTGTACTAATGCACTTGTGTTTGACAAACATCTCTGGACTTCAGCAGATTCCAAATAAAGACAATAAAATTAAAAAAAAAAATGATTATTTCTCCTTGTCTATTTTGCAGATGATTGATCATTAGGTTCTAAATACTTTCCTTCTCTTCTCTCTCAAGTCTCTCTGGTCTCTCTCCCTCATCTCTCTCTCCCTCATCTCTCTCTGGTCTCTCTCACAGTTATAATGTGCTCAGATTGAGATAAAAACCACTAAAGTCAAGCAATATTTTATGATTTTTTCAAAGTCGCACCGCTACGACTCCCCGCACCGCGCGACAGAGGTGGCGCCGCGCCATAATTTGCTCCCGTAGCCTTAGAACAATGTTTGTGAAATCGTAATGAATAGGATCTGTAGATTTGGCTCCCTATGTAAAGCTTTAGCGCAGTATGTAGGGAGCACAAAAGAGCCAATGTAATATTTCACACCTTAAACCAAGTTTAGTACAAATCAGACTTTGTATGAGCAAATGAGAGCTATTTTTCTTTCGTCAAAAAAGAAAAAAAAAAGTTGTTTGTGCAGCTCCATTGAACAAACAACAGTTTCACTGATCAAAATTCCCCGAAGTCATTTTAATGGTCAATGTGTCGAGATGATGTGGAGAAATCTTTAGGCGAATCGGTGAAACGGCCGAGGAGGAGTCGCTTTTCAACCGACATGTATGAAATTTATTGCTTTTCATTTTTCCATTTTCCAATGAAATTTATGGGCTTCCTGTTTGTCCGGGGGCGGGGCCATAATAAAAAAAAATTCATGTCTTGACTTGAGGAATTTCATGGCTCTACCACAAACTTGATCTCCGAAACTCCCAAAGGGGTATTAAATTGGCTGTTGTAGGTGGCGCTGTTCTGGCCTTTTTTGAGTCCCATAAAAATAAACACCAAAATATCAAATGTTTCACAAGGTCTGACTTTTAGGCAAAATTTGACAACTTTTCATGCATGTTCAGGGGGTCAAATTAAAGGGCCCATATCACGGTTTTTGACTTTTCTCTGCTTTAAACATGATTACAATGCTATTTGGCCTTCATACACAAGCCCACAGTAGTTTATTCATTAATTCTGTCAATCTTTTGTAAGAGAGCAATCTGTCTCCTTCCCCAGCGTGAGGCACAGAAACGCTCGGGTCCACTTCAGTGACAAAAACCACACTGATGACGCGCATGACCCCCGTTTGCTTTGTATTTAAAATAGTTGTTAAATACTTTTGTCAAAACGGGGTAAACAATACACAATTAGTATGCTGTTTTTTGTGAAAAATAATAAAAATAAAAATAAATTAAAAGCCGGCGGGAGGTGATTGACGGATCAAAACAGCGAATCAGAGCGCACAGGCTCCGGCTCCCGAGTCCAGCGTCTGTGGTCTGGTCTCGCGGACACCACATAGAGCTGCTGTTTTTATGCTTTTGTCAGCAACTAAAAGTGTTAGGATCACGTCAACTTGAATGAAGTGTGTTATGGGTGTAAATATGTGACACACTATTTGGCCCGAAGAGGAAGAAAGCGGCTCGACTTTTTTCATCTGTTCATCTCATGGATCTATTATAAACCGGTTCATCTGCGACACTTCACTGAGACTGTTCCAGAACTACAGGGACAATGGAACTGGACTTACTCAAAGGCTGATCTGGAAACACGTTATTCCCACGGTAAAAGACGATACTCGGACCCCCTCGATCTGTAAGTAGTGACGCTAACTCGCTGTATACTTCTGTAAACTAAATAACTAGGGTCTGATTGTGCATCGAGGACATAGGGCTCGATGTGACGGATTGTCATTGTTGGAAAAAGTTTATTCTTATGTATGAAATTACTAAGTACAGGTGATAAACGACAAAAGCGTGATGCTACGTCACCGTGCGGGCGGGGGGAGGCGGGCTCACAGGCAGAGGAGCAGACTCTTCTCTGGATCAGCTCGTTTGAGTCGAGGTGACGTCACCTCTATACAAGAGATGGCTCTAATCTCACAAGCTTTGATTGTTGTGTGGTGTATCATACGCATTAATATCACACATGTGTATAGGATTGAGTGTGAAACATGAAGAAAAGCGTGATATAGGACCTTTAAGGCTCAAAGTGCAGAATTTGACATCTCTCGAGCAAAAACAATAGGCCCCTATCTCGTTCGGGGGTCGGGCCTGAAAATATAAAATCCCTCAGTTGTATGCACAGCTAAACAGAATTGTCTTTAACCTGGTTTTAAACATTGTCAGTGAGGAGGCCTGTCTCACATCTTCAGGAAGACAGATTTTAGCAGCATGAATCTGAAGTGCAGCCTCCCCTTGTTTAGTTCTGACTCTGGGCACTAACAGGAGTCCAGTCCCTGTGCTCCTCAGAGTCCGGGCTGGTTCATATGGGACTAACATGTCACTAATATATTTTGGTGCGAGGCCATGGAGAGACTTGTACACAAGCAGAGCTGTTTCAAAGTCTATTCTCTGAGCCACAGGAAGCCAGTGCAGAGACCTGAGAACTGGACTAATGTGGTCGTACTTCCTGGTTCTAGTCAGGACTCGAGCTGCTGCATTTTGAATGTACTGCAGCTGTTTTACAGCCTGTTTGGACAGACCTGTGAGCAGGCCATTGCAGTAGTCTAACCTACTGGAGACAAATGCATGGATAAGAATCTCCAAGTCTGCTTTAGACACTATGTTTTTGATCCTGGCAATGTTTTTTAGGTGGTAAAAAGCTGCTGATGTTACTGATTTGATGTGGCTATTAAAATTTAAGTCTGATTCCAGTATTACTCCTAGATTTCTGACCTTGTTTGAAGGTTTTAGGGAGAGAGACTGGAGGTGACAGATGACGCTCTCTCTTTGTTTCTGGGGACCAAAGACAATCATTTCAGTTTTGTCTGCGTTTAGCTGAAGGAAGTTGTTTTGCATCCACTCACTGATCTGTTGGATACAGTGAAGGAGTGAGTCCACTGGTCCATGTTCTCCTGCAGTCAGTGAGAATAGATCTGAGTGTCGTCTGCATAGTTGTGATAGGAGACTTCGTTTCTGCGTATTAACTGACCTAACGGCAGCATGTAGAGATTGAACAGAAGAGGTCCCAGGATCGACCCCTGTGGGACTCCACAGGTCAGGGCCATATGATCTGAGACACAGTTTCCAATCTCCACAAAGTCCTTCCTGTCTTCAAGGTAAGACCTAAACCAACTTAGGGCGGTGCCAGCAACGCCAACCCAGTCCTCTAGTCTCTGTAAGAGGATCTCATGGTCGACAGTGTCAAAGTCAGCACTCAGATCTAACAAGATTAAGATTGAGACTTTGCCTGCGTCAGTGTTCAGCCGGATATCGTTTGTAACCTTAACGAGAGCAGTCTCAGTGCTGTGATGGGGTCTAAAGCCGGACTGAAACATGTCAAATGAGTTGTTGATTTGAAATTTGAAATGATTTGAGATGGGACGATAGTTGTTAAGTACCGTAGCATCCAGGCTGCTTCTTTTTTAGCAGGGGCCTGATGACTGCAGTTTTCAGGGCCTTTGGGAATATTCCAGAATGAAGGGACATGTTTACTATCTGTGTGAGTGAAGGTAACAGACTGCTCAGAACAGACTTCAGAAATCTAGTGGGTAGTACATCCAGGCTGCATGTGGAGGAGCTCAGACTTGAGATTATCTCTTGGACAGTTTGATCATTTACAGGTGCTAAGTGAGTTAGCTCAGAGAGCCTTTTTGGCTGTTGGATGGTTATCTGTGGATTGGAGACAATGGCGTTTTTGATGCCTTGAACCTTGTCATTGAAAAAATGCGCAAACTCATTACATTTACGTTTGGAAGTTAGCTCTAATGGCATCTGAACAGGGGGGTTTGTTAATCTATTAACTGTTGAGAACAGAA